CTTCTCTTCTCTTCTCTTCTCAGTTTTCAGTCTTAAAATCTCTTTTTTCTTCCTACTTCTTTAGCAATTAAATTTGTAATTTATCATCAAATGGATTATCAAAGAAACTATATATTTTGTATTTTTAAATCCCAGCAAATTTCTAACTCACACATTGCGTTGCCTCCCAACGGGACTTTAATATGCAAATTACGCTTTGGTTAAACGAGTTTCTATTTGATAAGAGTAAACTCAGAATCAGCGCCGGACCAAGACCTTGAGCACTTGAATGAATACTTCGTGGTGCAAGATCTTCACCTTCCCTTTTAATATATTTTCAACTCGTAAACGAAAAAACTTTCTCTAAAATAGGAACTTTAAGTCAAAGGAAGAGATCAACTGCTGAATCTTCTTGCCTTAAAAGCTTGCATTAATAAAGAATTACAGTGCAATAATACTGATCACCAACGATATCTCGAGATGCAACAAGACGAAGCAGGTATGGTAAACTTTAGGGTTCTTGTTTCTACTTGCTAAATTCAGCTTTCAAATGATGTTTTATTAATCTGCTATTCTCAGCTGCTTCATGACTTAATTTATTATATCTCCCAGTAAACCATATGGATATATTTAGAATTAAAACCCTCAATTAAAAATCTTAACTCACAATATCATATTCATACAATTTACTCTTTTCCAAGAAATACGAATTACTCATTGCTATCAAACTTTTGTTATTTTAGTATAAGATAACTGAGTTTTTCTCGACGTCGCTGTTAATTCAAAACCAATGATAATCTCAATTCCTCCTGCTGAAGTCTGTCTTTAGCTACAATAGCTTTAATATTGATAATAAAAAAAACATCCCTCTGTTTACTGTTTTAGTGATGTTTTATACCTCTAATTACACTATTACTGCYGCAGGATAACTAACTTCTTTAGACGGCAAAATTATTATGTATGAAGCCTTCTTTAACCTATTAAAATTTATTTAATTTTGCGGTATCAGAGATTATGTTACTACATCATTTTTATTTCATTTAGTGTTTATAAAATATTTGTAATGCATACTTGTTTTAAATATGCTAAACTGTTTGGCCCTAACTAAACTAAAATATGYTCAGAACAGAAAAGAATAATCTAACTACTCTATAATATTAATTCCGATCCGAAACGCTTGATTCAGTCTAAGAAAGAAATCTGGCTAATATTATGTATATTTTTAAGGTGGCGAATCTTCCAATGTCAAAGATTCAGAAAGAGAGAAAGAACAGAACATCATGAAATCTCTACCGAGCCGTCAAATCGCTTCGTGGAAGCTAAAGATTAAAAAACGCAAAAGCGAATTGAGAAAACAAAAGAGCTACAATGGAAAGGTAAGCCAGACTGTACATGTATAAATAAACTATTCTAAAGAATAAACAAATGGTGATTTTAAAGAAAGATTACATAAAATTAAACATGGTTAAGAAAAAGAAAACCCGTCTTTAGACATTAGCATGTTTGTCCCCCGGGGTATATTAATTGTTATGTTAACTTTCTTTAATGTTCTAATTCATCCATTTAGCCAGCGATATTATTTTTTGACGGTTCGTTTTCCTGCTTCCTCTGATAACACCGCTAATTACAATTCTATCTGTGAGTTGACCGTGCCCTGACTTTGACCAGCCCAAAGGGGGTCGTTTTGAAGTCTTTTTGTAAAGCTGGATCATGCAGTTAATTTAACAATTCAATCTGCCGTCTATAATGATTTTTATTTCATTCTCCGTTGTAAGATGTACATGCCTGTTGAAGATGATATCCCGGACGATTCAGCGTTTTTGGATGTCGGGGATGAATCACTTGCAAAAAAGGGGGAGCTTAATACCAAACCTCTGGCCGGGAGACTGAAAGAAAGGCGACTCCTAAGGTACAGTTTTGATCGATTCGGGGAGTTTAAGTAGTCCTTACAGGACGCGTTAAAAACAAGGCCATAGTTTGAGTAAGTGTGGCTTGGTTGTTTAGTATGTTGAGTTGTCTGCTAAGCAAGAGATCCATAGTTGAATTCTCAGTGACGTCATACACTTGTTTTAAGGAGCAAGTGTGGCTTGGTTGGTTAGTGTGCTAACTACTTGTACCTCTTACTGCAATTTTCGTAAACATGCGAACTCTACGTCTGCGAGCTGCTCCCTGAAATTTGCAATAATTCCCTTCAAACCATACCAAAGCAACTTAACTTGTTCGCTACTAAGGTCTACTAATTATTTTAATTCTAGGAGTGCTTCGGTGGAGGCTTCTTTTTATTCGGTGTCATTCTTTACAGCATTAAGATACGGTATAGCTATGGTAAGTCCTAGTAGAAGAAAGCAAAGTATTAATCTGTACTGCAATGGTTGGCAAATGTGGATGGAAATTTATGCTAGAAATTAGGAGGCTATTATGATTTTTTTAAAACTTTCTTTCACTATTTCCATTTTTTAAACTTATTTCCCCTCCAAAAAACCTCAAAACAAAAACAAACAAAACAAAACAAAGCAACAACAACAACAACAACAACAAACAAACAACAACAAACAAACAAAGACAAAAACAAAAACAAAACAAAAAAACAAAAACAAAAACAAAACAAAACAAAAAAAAACTTGCCCAGTTTGTTGATCGTGTTTTCTCATCTGTATTTCGTCCAATTATTAGTCTTTGAAGATAACGTACAACAAAGTGGTTGACTTCTTGAAGATGTTCGAACTGTGGAGAGGACACTTTAAAGAAATCGAAGGTAAGTCAAATGTATAGACTATCGATCTGACTTGATGTAGTCCTTTCAGTACATTAACAAGACCTATTGCCGTTACTATAAGCCTTACTCAGCATGAATTCGCATGTACTTCATAATATTTTCGCGCATGCGCAGACGATCTATTGCCAGGCCCGGACAAATGATCCCAACATTTGAACAAAAATTTGTTATCACAAGTCGTTGTTTTATAAAACATTATTATTACTATTATTATTATTATTATTATTATTATTATTATTATTATTTATTATTATT